CCCACCCTAATGTGAGAGATTGTAAAATTTATAATGATCACAATGCCCTAAGGAATGTACACATAGCATGATTGATTTGAAATTCGACTAAACGAGATATTTTTACCACTTCGTTCAGCCAGATTGTGTCGTAGAAGTTAATTTGGTTAGAAAAAATATGTGTACGATGATATTCGACTAACGTGGTCAGTGATTATCCACGAGTAAACGTCTTTTTGACAAGTCTCGAATTTTACATTAAAAGAACAAAAGAAAAAAAATGAATTCATGAAAATAAAATGTGCTCGCATGAGACGATATATACATATATAGTGGAAAAACATACTCTTAAACTCGCTTCTATCCATGCGTACGTGAAACTAGGTTAATCTTATGTACTATGTTCCCTAAGCACCAAAATTTAGTTAGTGCAGATCATGATAGTCGCTGAGATATCTCTCAGCTATGGCAGCGTGAGTTGCTGCGCCTACTGGGAGGACATCTTCGTCGATCATGAAATGTGGTGAATGTGCTGAGTGTACTGAGCCTAGAGTCTCGTTCATAATGCCGATGTAGTAGAAGGCCGCCGGGATCACCTCAGAGTAGAATGAGAAGTCCTCACCCCCCATTACTGGCTGGACGACTTGGAAATTTTCGGGTCCTGTCAAATCGGTGGAGACCTTCTTTACATGTTCGTACATGCGGTCATCGTTTACCATTGGTGGGTAAATTGTGTCTTCGTCCTTAAAAAAGTCGACTGTGGCCGAGCATCTGAAAACCCGAGCTTGATCTACAATTACCTGTTCATTTTTTTTTCCCCTCGGATTAGTACAATCGACCTAATATAGCACATTAAAGTATAGTTCGGTATGCTGGACTAAACACGATGACTAACTAATCTTGGTCACGTAGTTCTTCCTTAATTCTGTCTAGTAGTAGTGTCCAGTCGGGCATACCCACACACACACTTTAGCATAAAGCTCGGATTTAGTTCTCAGACAAACCTCTTCTATTCTTTTGACAAGTTGGTAGAAGCTCACGTTAGAAAATGCCCTTAAGGTGCCACCAAACTCAACCTTATCTGGTATGACATCAAGATCATCTCCACTGTGAAAGAAAGTTACCGAGACCACCTGACAGATCAAACAAAATGCAAATACCATTAAGATTTCTACAGCGTTAACATGAAAAAAATGTTCTGTATTTTTTGGGAATCCTCTGATAGTACAGGACTTATGCCTGGCCTTTTCGAGATCTCAAGGTGGTTCTCTCTCCCTCAATTTCTTGGATACTTTATAGGACTGAATGCTTGGGGTGGAGGGAATTTGTTGAACCACCGTCTAATAATTTATGCTAACTTTAGCAAGGATAATACAGACGGTAATGAAAAATTTCAGATAATTACTCACCTGAGAGTCTAAAGGATTTGCTTCTCGAGAAACGACACCCTGTAAGCTGATCACGGCTGCTGAGGCTGCAAAGACGGGGTCAACGGACTGGTGGGGACTTCCCGCTTTGCCCTGTCTACCAGTAATAACAGCTCTGAAGAAGCCAACACCAGCAAGTAAAGGACCAGTTCTTGACCCAATGACACCGGTAGGGAGCTGATGGGATACGTGAACTGCGAATATAGCCTCGATATCTACAAGGGCTCCGTCTCCCATCATTCTTTTTGCTCCATTTCCAGCTTCTTCAGCTGGCTGAAATAGTAGTATGACAGTCCCCTGTCACATGAAGTAATATTAGCTATGATGGATGCAAAATTCAAACGAATTGCGCTTTCGTTTCAAAAATGAGGCGAGTCTCATTTTCCGTTTCCTCTGCCTTTAAATAAGCAGCTAAGTTATACTGAGAAAGATTGTACTTCAGGTTTCATAGAGAATAATCTATAAATTCAGTGTTAGCAACAATTTTCTACTCAAATTTAAAATTACAGATTCACATCCATTATTAGCAGAATACGGTAATCCGATGATGATAAATGTCTTATAGGAATTTTATTCTAGTGGATTGGTGTAATTGAACTTGAAATCTAAATGATTCTGACAGTACCAGAAATGACACTACATCAAAAGAAAATTATTGAGAAATTGAAGTTAAATAAATGGCCCACCTGCCCATCATTCTAAAGGTCCACTACCTTTGTAAATTTTTGGTGGCGGGCCCACCGGACCAAAAAACAACCTTTCTAGCTCCTTTCATTTCATCCTCCATTTAGGATAACATCCCCAACTTGCCAAACACGGGGCTGTCTGTAATTTTTTTTTTCTTCGAGAAAACTAAATTACAGGTATAAAATGCCATCAAGTTTCTTAAGGTTTAAGCAAATATTGCTTCTCATTTAAGTTAAAATTGACATGAAATAATAAGTGTTACGTTTTATCCCAAAGTAGCTTAAGAAAGTTATTCAAATGTCACAATTAGCTCAATCAGGTTTCTCAAATCAAAATCACACATTATTTTCGGAAACCGATCCTCTACGTACAATTAGACCCAATATTGCAAGAATTCGAGAACTACAACCTACATCTCAGGACGAAGCAAATCAATGTTTCTCAAGCCCTACATTAAGGGTTTTCATTTACTGAGGTTTCTTTAAAAATGTCCCCACTATGAAGATAAATTCTTAAAAGAGGGTACACTACATATTATATACTTATGGTCCTCGCAAGTGGCTGTTAGTCATAATCAAAAAGTACTACTAACTTTTCCCCCAAGCTCAAAAAAAGCAGAACATCATTTCCTGCATTCATCAATAGTTATCTGTTAGTACTATTATATATGGAATTAAAGTTACTTTTTCACAAACTTAGATTTTGTACTGAATATAGAAAAAGTTTTTCTTAAAGAACCCGAAACACGCGTTTGGCAAAAAGGTTATTCAATGTAAATTTTAAGCTTAGACAAACATGCTATAATTCGCCAAGACAAATTAATACCGGTTCTCCTATTGTTAAGTTCTGGTAGGAATGGGATTGCCAATTTCCGAAGTTGCATTATGTAGCAACTGCTGAATATTGGCTCACCCACATGGGGTTTGGTATATGATATATTTGGTAAGGTTGACTAGAAAGTCCATTATAGAGTCGAATAGTAACCACATTTAGAAACATGGAAATATGCTGATACAGAGGATGTAGGGCCTGTTTTTACCAACCAATCATGCTACATGTATATTTTCTTTGACATTCAATGAGGTGACAGCAATCATGATCTTTAATTTTAAACACACTCCATCAACTGGCCAGATTTCATCCACGTATGAGGGTGTCATCATTCATGTGAAAAATGAATGTACGTCTCGCATTATTGTTTGCCAAAATAGACGCCCGTACACCAAAATAGCAAAGCAAGTGAGCTGTCACTTCAGTTTATTACATCTACAGAAGAATCCATGATCCAATCCTCTGCTTTTTCTTAGACTCATATAGTCCACACAAAATGATACCCCATATTGAAAGTATTAGCATCTTAACTGAACTGTTAACAATAGGCTTAACTTTAATGTCATGACGACGTATTCGGTGCCTAGTGTTCGACATAGTTGGACAATGTTGCGTACCACTCACGCCCTAAAGGGTGAAGGTTGAAATTCTGTGTACCAAAGACTTCAAGATTCTCGAAGAATCAAATGACGTAGACACGTGCTTACATTATAACATGTACAAATCTATAGATCAATAATCACACGTACATTTACGGAGTATATGAGAAGAGGCGATTCGAAGTACCTGTAAATGTTTTTCACGCGCTTTCAAAATCTTCGCTGCACCTATAAGCATGGCCACGTGCACATCATGTCCGCAGGCATGCATTTTACCATCATTTTTGCTTTTGTGCTCCCATTCAACAAGTTCCTATAACGACATACAAGAGAAAAGCAGAACTTAAGCAAACTTGAAAAAGAACATTGTGCATTATCCCAGTATGGTCACCCTTTAATCACTTTGCATACAATGTGCTTAAACATATTAATATGTACGGTGGGCTTATTTGGTGCATTTTTCAACCTCAATACTGTACAGTGCCGTCAAATCTAACATATCAAACAGGTTAATACTGCGCGTTTGAAGCACAATATAGACAACACTAATTTTAACTTCTTTTTCTTGGTAATCGTATTCAATCCACTCGAATCCAGCATACCCAACCGGCTAAAAGGGGATGTTGGAGTTCGTATGACCTCTGTTTCTTCCTTAATCCAGTGTGACAACAGATGATATTTTGACTTCATTTTCTTTCTTAATCTCGTCACATGCAGTCGAATCTAACATACAAAACATGCTAATAAAGCATAAAAAATGGAAGAAAAGGTAAAACCTGAATTGGTAGAGCGTCCATATCAGCCCTGAGTGCAACAAAAGGAGGCCCCCCAGTACCTATTATGGCTCTAATCCCAGTTTTAGCCAAAGGAAACCTATAACCAATTTCCATTCTATCCAGTTCTCGCCGAATAAGCTGACTCGTCTCGAATTCTTCAAAAGCGAGTTCTGGGTACTCATGGATTCTTCTCCTCACTGATTTAATCCATTTTACATTTTCTGGGTTCCTCGCAAATTTCAAAATCTCCTCAGAACAAGCTCTGTTCCATACACTGCAATCTGTATTCAAATTTGGGATCAAGGATTTCTTTCCCGATGAATAATTGGATATGATACAGGGCTTCTTTAAATTAGAAAGAATTGAATTAAAATAGGAGAAATCATGACTGGGTTTTGCTGTGACTGAAAATGGGCTCATGATCATGTAAAAAAGAACGCAAAAAATTGAAAAAACTGAGAGCTTGTAAAGAATCTGCATTTCTTTTTTTGGTAAATTATTGCTTTTAGAGAGACAGGATTATGGGGGAGAGTGATTGGACTAATTTATGAAGATCAAAAGTTGGAGAGAGTCAATAGGAAGACGGTGGGGGTGGGTGTCCCACGGGGTGGAGTCGTGAGAAGAATATGAACACGTGGGGATAAAATGGAAGGGTCTTCAAATGTGCATACATGTCACGTTGAGGAATATGTGCAGAAAATGTTATGCAATTGAAGCGCAGAATCAAGTACTGTGGGGTCCACACCATTTGCTGAGAGGGTAGGTAAAGGGTTCTCTTTGCGTGATTTTATTTGATGTAGAAATGTAAGCCAAGTCGGGTTGGGTCAGATCATCCCATCGACCTTCATTTCGATTCGACTCATCAACCATGAGTCGTGACGGTTCATGCTTGCATTGGGGCGAGTCATGTATGAATCGACTTGGTTGAAGAAAATGTACCGCAGATTGTGCATTCTTGAAAATTGAGGATTAAAATGCAATTCTCTCTCTCTCTATATATAAAGACTATTGACAATTCTAGAGAGATAGACTTTAGCCTCGTGTTTATTAAATTTTCAATCTTTTGATTTAGAAGATAGCGTACTTTGAATAATGGAAGTGTGGCTGCTGCTTCATGCTTGGATGAATTTTATATGTTACAGCTTATAAGTGGATAATATCTTTTCTAGGAAAATTGACAATAAAACTAATCTTTTGATTCTAACCTTTTCTTTTCTTCTTAGTTGTGTTAGTTGTTACACGTGCGCACACAAAATTCATAAATCGAGCTTAAGAATTTTATTTTTCCCCCTCGTACGCTTTCAAAACTATTCAATTAATAGTGTTCTAAGGAAAGACCAATTTGTCCGTTATGTATCAGGGGACAATCTTGTCATTCAATCAATAAATTGGCAACACAACAATGCAATTTTTTCGTATTTGTATCGATAATCTTCACCTAATTATTGTAAACATCATCACATGGTTACGTGCCCTACGAAATATACTGATAATAAATTGTTGCGCAAGACATTTTTTTCTTGAAATAAATTGTCACAATATGACACGAACATTTGTTATTTTTTATATTTTTTGTCATAAATTAGTCATTTCTACAAACGGATAAAGCCATAATTAATAGGCTAACTTACGCCATTTATTCCGTGTCACGCATTAATTGTGTAAGACAAGACACTTTGTACTCCTATTGACTTTGTTTCATAGGAATCTATATACGTACATATACAATCGATAGGAAGATGTGGACATAACTTCACAGTTGAGGGATTACTTCCCACCCTCTCATTAAATATAAAGAAAAATTGCGGTCATTCTCAATTTTTAATTTTTATATTGAACTTTCTATTTTCTGACGTATATGATCCTCATTCGTGATACTTAAGTCGATCTACTGTGTTGTGGTCGAGACTTGCTTTGGTACCTTGAACAGTTTTCTCGTTTGAACTTTGTGCTTAAATTTGTATCAAAGTTCTTGAATAAATGTATTTGAAGAGTATTTAAGGTCGATAAGTAGGCACGCTAGATTGTTCGAAGACATCGCCACTAGGTACAATCCTCGAACCGATATCCTAAATATGGTTGATAGAAACCACAAAACAAGCATCATCGATCTTTTAACTGTTAAATTTGAATACTGTGCTAAATTGACTTCTGGTTATCTATCAACATGTGCAGTCCCCATGGTCGATTTTTTAGTGCTCATCTTGATATGCGCTATCGACAAATTACATTTACGTAACTCATTGGCTATTTGTCATTTAATTTTTTGACACGCATGATCCATATGCGAAAGTAGTTAAAAAGAGCCACTCGAGCAGAAATATAACATGTTAATGGCAACGTTTTTAAGCTGTTCATAATGAAAGTCGAAATTGCCTGCAAGATTTCTAAATAATAAATTGAATATTGCTATGTGTACATAGCAATACACATAAGGGTAGCACATAATGTGAGAGGGATGGGGCCCGTGCTACTGTAACAACAGCCCCACCCCTCTCACATTATGTGCACTCCTATGTACACGTAGCATGGTCCTAATAAATTGTGGTGTGGTCAAAATACAAAACAAGTTGACAATTGTCTTATCCTTGAAAGTTTCATGTCCATCAATTATCATCAAATAATATTAAGAGAAGTACAATTTGGTATTTATCACCTGTCAATTCAACCTAGAGAAAGAACGATTAAGCCTACCAATCCTTTTCATTTCCCTTTTCTTTTTCCATTTTTTAAGGACATCATAAAGTTTCATCAACTTTAAGTGGTCACAATTCTATTATTGGTGAATAATACTTGGACATATTACCAATTTATTTCTACTTTTAGAAGTATGGTATTCTAAAATACAATAAAAAATCTTACTCTCACCTGAAAAATAAAAGTTTTCACGTTTTAAGTTAACGAGTCTAATTTCGAAAATATTCTCTATTAAATATCATTTTTTTCATTACTATTTACTTGTTATATAAATTTTTCACCTTACAATTTACGTAAATATGACATTTAATGATATAGAATACACAAATCCGTCAATCCTTGTAATATCAATGGATTATTGACTCTGTGCTAGAATTTCGTCGTTTAGTAGTGTCAAAGACGAGCAGCCCAACGCATTGCATTCGGCCTATGAAAAAGTTCAGACTACAATCCGATACAAGCTAGTGGCGAGTTCAACTTGGTGAGCATCGGCCTTGCCCTTACTCGATTTTTCCTCCTCCAATTATTAAAAAAAAAAAAAAAATGTAGAAATTGGTGTTTCACTCATATCCTTATCTTTACTCTGTCAAATTTTGGTAATGTTGATAAATTGTTTTCAACACTCAAATTCATCATATCTCATCCAACAAAAACAAGTTTGAAAAAGGTGAACGGGTTGGTTGAGTGGGGTCTTATTATAAACACATTTCTATCAAGTTAGTTTAGCCTCACATAAAGTTCGATAAGTCTGCGCCTCATTGAGATTTGAGAGTAGGCCAATTCCCACTCTCCCTACGCCGAACCTTTAACATCATTCATTTGATCTTTATATTACAAGATCGACAAGTGTTGAGTGTTACGTGTCTATCTATCCATTTTGACACCTATAACGTTATAGTATTATTTATTCAGCAAAATCTTGTCTGTCTGTATTTACTATTTTTAATTATTTTAAACTTGTTTTCGTAACATGAGTCTTATCTACTCGAGCAACAAGGACATATATAATATTTTCATATATGCTCACAGTTTATGGAGTGCCACCCAAATTCTTTATGCTTTTCCCAATATTGAATGCATACAAATTTGCATGTGTTTGTTTGCTTGTGTATTATGCTATTGGCACATGGGGTGCTGTTGGTGGATTTTGTTTTTACTTTAGATTTTTGGTACACGTTATTGTTTTCATTCTCATATTTTTACTAATTTTCAACCACACATTCTTCAATAAAATAATATTTTTCATCACATCGATAACTTTTTCTTCATTTTTAACCACACATTCTTCATCAAACTACTATTCAATAATACATTCTTTCAAAAGAATGTGTCCCAAACACACTCTTAATTGATTAATAATCTGTTCATATATACAACTCTTAAAAAAATTATACGTGTCATTTTCATGTCCATTCTTTCAAAAACTTTTTTTTTCTACGTACTCATTTTCAACTATATATTCACACAATAAAATATTTTACAAGTAAATTCAAAAAAATTTCAACCACAGACTCCAAAAATTCATTATTTAAGATAATATTTTTTCAAAAAAAAATGGCCGCCAAATAGGGCTTAGAATTATGTACGAGTATGGGGGGTTATATTTCCATGGTTAGTATTTTTCAATAGTTGATAAGGGTATCGTGTACTTTGAGTTTGGATATGGATCCTATGATAGGTTCGAAAAACTATGGCTCTTGGAGGTATTGTAGGCTAAAGGCATCTCCAATGGTTAAACCAAATTTGGTGTAATTTTTACACAAAATAGGTGTAATTTTCACGCCAATTTAGTGTATCCTCTCCAATTGTTACGCCATATGAATAGTATTTTCTTTATTTTCTTATTATTTATTTCTTAGTAATCAATTTATTTTAAATTAATTAATTACCAATTATATTATTATTGGAGTCATTAAATTAAAAATTAAGAAAAAAAATTAAACAGAATTTGTTGTAAATATTATATGAATGTTACCAACTTACTATCACATTAGAATTTAAAAATAAATGTTAAATAAAAATAATCATCGCATTAAAACAATTATAAATAAATTCAAATTAACTAATTCTAAAAGGGCAAAAAACAAAAAAAAAAAAAAACAAAAAGAACAAGAATTTGTTTAATAGAAAATTGAGGGTAAAATGGAAATAATGAATTACATCAAATTTGATGTTTTACACCAAATTCGGTGTGTACCATTAGAGATACTATAAGAATCCAACTTGCAATATATGAACACATATCATTATGTCGACAACAATATATGGGTGGTTCTATATTACTCACGGAACTTTAGTAAAAAAGAACAATCAATTGTATTACGAAAAAATTTAAATTCAACATCATGCAGTACGCACCAATCTCGTGTTTATTAAATGATTCAAGTCCAAACAATACATTATTATCTCTCAATCTTTCGTGAGTGGTCAGGATATAAAACGTGTGAAACATAATAACTTGAAATAAAGAAATCGAGTGCGAATATTATTATGTCTTAATCTTTAGTGAGTGGAATGAGACTACAATAAAAATATCAAGGTGGGGTCATATATATATTTTTCAAAGTAGGAGGATCCATATTAATCCAATTGCGTGTTAATTTGAAAATAGTACTTGTTTTGGGCAAAACGTGGACTCATTGAATACCTTAACACTGGGTTCAAAATCAATGGGTCACAATCATACATAAATGTTTTTATTCCATTTCAAACCATACCTAAGT